TTTCTTAAGTTTTCGCGGGTACTTACATGTATGGCATTCAGCTTTGTTCGGGTATTTTCCCATGTCATTATAGTTGTGCTTTTAAAGTTGTAGCAACATTTTGGCAGAATCTCATCTGCCATCATCATGCCAATACAGAAGCCTGATGATGGCAGATGAGATTCTGCCGAAACGTTGCTACAACTTTAAAAGCACAACTATAATGACGTGGGAAAATACCCGAAGTTTATACACACACACAACACACACACACACACAGAGTATATAGAAGATAGATAGATAGATGGATAGATAGATAAGTAGATAAATAGATATAATAGACATAGATAGATATAGATATTGATACTGAAAAATAAACAAACAGGGGGAAAAGAGCCTTAGAAGGTATCTGCAGATTTCCTTCTAAGTGAGAAAGGCCAGAAACTCAGATGTTTTGTGCAGGATGCATTAAACCCACATTAGGGTTGGGTTGACACATAGCAGTTCAACTGTATTTTTTTTTTTCTTGCTTGATGCTGAAAATGGCTCTTTTTCCAAAATCAGTTTTCTTCCAGAAATGAATTTATTTCCAGTGAAAACCCCGATCCAACAGATTCTTCCTATTTCCCCGCCCCCCCCCCCCCCCCCCCATGGATGGATAGATAGTCGCTGTCCAAGATTTCAGGAAAAAAAAAATGTTTCCCACTCCCTCGGTTGAACTTAAAGAAGCAAAGTGGGTTCTTTCCTTTGAAGCCAAGCTGCTAGTCCTCATGGCTGGTTTTAAGTGCAATGGCCGATTCCCTCCCCCTCCCCTGGTGTAAGTGACAGTCATAGATCTAACATCTCTTGTATGTGCTTGATTTTTTTTGTGTTTAGATGGACACGCTAAGCACTGTAAGCAAAGTTGATTTAAAAGAAGAAAAGAAAAGGTTTTAAAACTGTCATTCTATAATTCTGAGACTTTTAGTCCCTCTTGGTTTCCAGCCTTGGCTACGACTTTGCCATCATCATCTTCATCATCATCTTATTAAATTTCAGCCCAACATTACATTCTTTGAGATACCTGACTTACCAGATCCCATGCCTGATTTGTGAATCAGTATAGTCATTAAGTGAATCACAACGGCATTCAGTGAATCCGGGCTCCATCCCCCCCACCAAATTTTGATCATTTGACAATTAGGAATGCTTCAACAGTTGTGTAAGTGCGAGGACCATCGTGAGTCACTTTTTTCAGTGCCGTTGTAAATTCAAGCGGTCACTAAATGAACCACTGTAAGTCGAGGACTTCCTGCATTGTCTTTTCATGAAACGAGAACTGGGTTTTGACCTCTTCACTCTCTTACTGTTGCTGTTGAGTACATTATCTTTACTCCTTATAGAATAGAATAGCAGAGTTCGAAGGGACCTTGGAGGTCTTCTAGTCCAACCCCCTCCCCTGCCTAGGCAGGAAACCCTACACTACTTCAGGCAAATGGTTGTCCAACATCTTTTTAAAAAGGTTGGAGCATTCACAGCTTCTGGAGGCAAGTTGTTCCACTGATTCGTTGTTTTCACTGTCAGGAAATTTCTCCTTAAGTTCTAAGTTGCTTCTCTCCTTGATTAGTTTCCACCCATTGTTTCTTGTTCCCTGGAAGTCACTTTACTGGGCACAATGAGGACTAGCATCTTAATTCTCCCCCCTGGAAAAACAACACGCACATGCTCAGAGGAATGGCTGCAGGGCCTGAGATTATAGGAATGGCTTGTTTGTAGCAGTTTTTTTTTTTAATTCTTCCTCTCCCAGTTTAATCCAGTCTTAAATTCAGGAGCCTGGCTTACCACCAGCCTGCCCACTCCTGTCTTTTATTTTGGACCCTTCCCTTATTTAAAAAAAAAAACCAAGCCTTTTCCAACCCATGGATTGCGAGCCACAAGTGTCTCCTTTCCTCATTTTATTTCCTTTTTCTCTACTTCCTCCGTTTCCCTCAGTGGTGAAAATGAGCACATGAAGCTGCATATATGAACAATTAAGGTACAACGGAAATCAGATTATTTCCCTCCTTCCCCTCACTTCAGCAACAGAGTGGTCAATGCCTGGAATACTCTACCTGACTCTGTGGTTTCTTCCCCAAACCTTTAACCTTAGACTGTCTCCTATTGACCTCACCCCTTTCCTAAGAGGTCTCTAGGGGGGCGTGCATAAGCGCACCAATCATGCCTACCGTCCCTGTCCTATTGTTTCTTTTTATTTTTCTTATATGTACCCATTTCATGTATTCATAACTATGTCTATACTTATACCTATCATCTTGTAAGCGATTGACAAATCAAATAAAACAAACAATCAAAAACTTTGGGGGATGGATGGAAAAGAAATTGTGCAACTTTTTCTGATGGGTCACCGCAGCAAGATGACAGCACACCCAAAGATGGAAAGATCCGGCATGGTTGGTGAAGATGATGGAATTTGTTGAGATGGCCAAACTGATCTGTATGATTCAGGGGAAAATCCCAGGATCCTCTCTTTGCCAATCAACTTTTAACAGGGTTAATTGCTCTTGCAAGCTTCCATAAAAAATGATTACATATTTTTTACTCCACATTTAACATTTTTTTTTCACACCGTTTTCTGTTTCACTGTATTATTGTGCCCAGGGAGAAGGATGGTTTAGTAAAGCAAAATATAGGTAGGTAGGTAGGTAAATAGACAGACAGACAGACAGTCAGACAGACAGATGGAGACAGAGAGATAGATAAAAATTAATATCTGTGTTTATCACTGACTGGAACGCCCTGATGGACTTTTAGTGTGAAACAGGGAAAAAAAAGAACTTACGATCTGTGGTTTTGACTATTAACTGTAGTTAGAGAGGAAGAAGTAAATTTAGAATTTTTCTTATAACTGCTGTAAAGATCCGAAGTCACTTCTTTATGTGATTTTTTTCCTTTTTTCTTCTCTTTTTCTTTTTTGCACCTTAACGTTCTCACTTATTTCTTCTTCTTTTTCTTATTCTATTCTGATTCATATTAATTTTTACTCTTGTAAACTTTCAATTAAATTATACTTTAAATAAAGTATAATAAAGTCGCATGGAAATCTGACAGGAGGACAAATTGCATTTGGAAGAAGAGGTCCACCAGTCCTTCCTTCCTTCCTTCCTTCCTTCCTTCCTTCCTTTCTTCCTTCCTTCCTTCCTTCCCTCCTTGCTTCCTTCCTTCCTTCCTTCCTTCCTTCCTCCCTCCCTCCCTCCCTCCTTCCTTCCTTCCTTTCTTCCCTCCCTATATTTTCCATCCTTCCTTCTCTTTCTTCCTTCTCTACCTTTTCCTTCCTTCCTTTCCTCCCTCCCTTTTCTATCTTTTCCTTCCTTCCTTCTCTATCCATCCCTCCCTCCCTTCCTTCTGCTTGGCAACACATACAATTCACGTAACAACTGCTTTGCTTAGGAAATTCTGGTCAAAGCTGTAGTTGTCACTTAAGGAATACTTGCCCTTGTTTTAATGTATTGTGTGAATATTGTAATAGGATGTATTTCTTTAGAAAAAATCATTATGTGAACATAGCCTTGGCATTTAATGACCCCTGCATATGTTATATAAACCCAGTCATCAATTTCTTTTTCTTCTTTCTCTCTCTTTTCTTCTTATTTTATTTGGAGGAAGAAAAACCCATCCCTTTAAACCATCAAGAATGATCGATTGTCAATAATGTGAACCTCCTCTACTTGTTCATTCTTCTTGCCATTTCCCCATCTTGCAGGGCCAAAATAAATCCAACTTATATTCTCTCTTCTCCCCATTTTTGCAGTTTGTGAAATGTGGTTACGCCGGATCCAATTTCCCGGAGCACATTTTCCCAGCTCTGGTGGGACGTCCTATTATTCGGTCCAGTGTTAAGGTTGGCAATATTGAGATCAAGGTGAGTGATCATTAGGAGGGAGATATTATTGCCAAATTGTGCTTAGAGACTCTGTGTTGAAAGAAGGCAATTTAACAACATTTGTATTGTTTATTTTATTCTGTGTTGTTTTGCAATGAAAGCAACTTGCCCACACTACTTATGTTTTTTTTATCATGAACCATAATAATCTGATTATCTACCAATACTCTTCTCATCCCTCTTTTACCTACCTAGCAGCCTTTTAAGGTAGGCCAGATGCCAAAATAGAAATACTGGGACTCTATTGGTGGAGGTCAGTGTTTCTCAGCTTTGGCAACTTTTAAGATATGTGGACTCCCATTAATTCATCTAATAAAATAAATAATAATAAACTCCCTGAATTCTCCATCTAGCATTCTTTAAGATACCTGGACTTCAACTCCAGAATTCCTCAGCCAGTATGTGGGCTGAGGAATTTGGGGAATCGAAGTCCACCCATCTTAAAGGGTATTGGCTAGGAATTCTGGGAGTTGAAGTCCATCCATCTTAAAGCATGCTTGTTGGGGAAGTTGAGGTCTATGTTAAATCACACAGGCTGAGGAATTCTGGGAGCTGAAATCCACCCATCTTAAAGCCTGCTGGCTGGGGAATTCTGGGAGTTTAAGTCCATCCATCTTAAAGCCTGCTGGCTAGGAATTCTGGGAGTTGAAGTCCACCCACCTTGCCAAGTTGCCAAGTTTGAAAAACGTGGGCATAGGCCATAATAACAGAAAGTTCAAAGCCTGACAGTGTTTTCTCTTCCCTCCCTTTAAAATTTAACGAAGGCGGAGTCAGTTCTTTCTAGTTATTTTACTGTCCTGGGCTAAAATTATGTTTTTTTTTCTCATTGCTGTTGCTGTTCTCCAAGATTGTTGGTCTTCTGTGCTTCCTATCTGTGCATCTCCTTCTGTCTCACAAGTGATGCAGTTTCTGCAGACTCTGTGTGTGTGTGTGTTTTGTGTGTGTGTGTGTGTGTTTTGTGTGTGTGTGTGTGTGTGTGTGTGAATGTGTGTCCACTTCATCCAGGTGGGCATTGTTGCCACCTGGATAATAGGCCTCCCTGGTTCTCCTCCCTGGTAGGACCTCATGGTGGGCGATGATGCCAGCAAGTTGCGTTCCATGTTGGAGGTGAACTACCCCATGGAGAACGGGATTGTGCGCAGCTGGGAGGACATGAAATACTTGTGGGACTACACCTTTGGCCCAGAGAAACTCAACATTGACCCCCGTAACTGTAAAGTCTTGCTCACCGAGCCGCCTCTGAACCCCACCAAGAACCGAGAGAAGATCATTGAGGTAAGCAGGACCATCAGAGAGTCTTACGGGAGGGCTTGATCAAGGTTTTTTGAACAAATTACAGTCTTTATCCCAGCCACTGTTTTTTGTGATGTCTGGTGTTTATTATCCATGATACCCATTGTGTTATCTGCAGAAAAATGTATGATCTCAAATGTTTGTTAACCAACAAAAGGTCTCTCTCTCTCTCCCTCTCCATCCATGCATCCATCTGTCTGTCTGTCTGTCTGCCTGTCTGTCTATCCATCCATCCAATCATCATCCATCCAGCAATCATCTTTTCATCCATCCATTATTTATCAATTCCATTCATCTATCAATCATCTATCTTTCTCTCTCTCTCTTTTCTCTATCACCTATCTCATCTCTTCCTCTATCGATCATCTACCTCTATCATCTGTCTACCCATCCATCATCTTTCTGTCTGTCTATCTAGCTTATCTATCTATCTACATCTACTATATCTATTTATCTATCCATCCATCATCTGTCCATCTCTATCTATCTATCTATCTATCTATCTATCTATCTATCTATCTATCT